GTTATTTTCTTCTATATATATATATATATATATATATATATATATATATGATGACGATAAAAATGACAATTTTGGTAAAAACGATTCATCAACTTTGAAAGATTTATTAGCGATATTATCGCTATTTGGTGATTGAACTTTTCTTTAACTTATGTTCAATTTACAATCAATGTATATACGTATATATGTATGTATATATATATATATATGTCTCGAGTTTCGAATTTTCGAATCCAAATGTGCAATTGCATATTGATCGTAGTCGTAATCCCTCCTTTCGTATCTTCTCCGTTCAACCTTCAAATCTTCGAAACTGATACTTGTATTTGACAATCGTTGATCGATCGATATTCTTCTATCTCCTTTGAGGATAGGAAAGATAACAAATCTTGAAGTTGTAAAATTTCATCTAATAATAATCAGCCCAGAAGAACTTTTCTTATCATCGCACCGCTGACCACTTCGTCCCCATCTCGTGATTCTATACATTTCCTGCTACAAAGATATTGTAGCAATGGTAGACGATACTTTCCGCAAAAATCGACAAACTTGACGTGTTCTACTCTATTATTGAAGAATACACCTGTAACGAAACGAATAAACTGTTTATTTTTAAAAATAACGAGAAAGATGAAAATTGCAATTTCAACTTGTGCTCTCTCTCGTATTATTGTGTATTGTTTCAACTTGAGATGATTGAAATGTGAAAACAATTCCAAGGAAAAGTGCACATGTATACATGTGCAATAGTGCAGTCGTGATAACACTGCCGATCATGAATCAAAAAAAAAATGGATGTCGTTGGTGGTCAAGCTGATTGAACTTTGAATTTTATACGAGTCTAGGCGCTGACCTTTACACTTAGAATTGACGCAACGGTGGCCGCTGTTTAGATACTCCACCAGGTTCCTTGGTATACTCTCCCTATCGTATCGGATGTCATTGGTCTTTATCACTCTAGCGGCCAGTTCCAATAGGGATGGAGGATTGTGTGTCATATCCGACACGAATCTTACTACTAATGGATTATCCCTCAAAGATAACTGAATCGAAAAAAAAAAAAATGTGAATAAATAAATGAAAATAAACGTATATAAGCATATTACGATTATTTTAATTTTTCGTCTACGTATAGAAACGTATTAAGATTAGTAAATTCGGATATTTTATTTCTTCTCGAATATCGAATAATATAATTTCACATCACCTCTGTCAAACATTTTAACGTGATGATTTCAGTAGGCAATGTTCTCAATCTATTCTTGTGAAGTAACAATGATTTCAAATTGGTCAATTTTGCTATTGAACTAGGTAAACTCTCCAGCATGTTGTCGCATAATATCAACGCTTGAAGAGACATTAACTCGCCTAAGGTGGATGGCACTTCCGTCAATCTGTTCCCTCCCATCGATAAAACGTGCAATCTTCAAATAAAATTATTCGTTCTTTATCATTTTCGATTCTTCCAATTACTCTACTAGGATAAAAGATGGATCGAGATATTTTTTAAATACTCGATACCGTGTATACGTAAGTTTTACGTTTGATATTTTATGACTATGCCTCTTGGCGAACGCAAAGAAAACTTTATACTTTAAAATCGAAATATTTGATTAATCGAGGGTCCAAATTAAATCGCAGACAAATGAACTGAAAAATATACCTTTGCAGTTTCCAAATATCTTTACTGATCTCAGTGATTTGATTGCCACCCAAATACAGATACTTAATCTCTGTCAGATCTAGAATTTGCAGTGGAAAATCTGTCAATCTGTTACCGCTCAGATTCAGCTCTCTGAGTCTCGACAAATTTTGAAAATTTTTAGGCAAGGAATCGTTCGTCAAATTATTATGCTTAGCCACCAAACACGTGAGAGGGCAATCCCCAAGGAAATCAGGGAGCCGATGAAGGCCGCAATTTGATATGTCCAATGAGTTCAAGTTCGTGAATCTAATTATCGTCTGTGGAATGTTGTTCAATCGATTTTGATGGAGTAACAATGTGTCTACGTTTTCTGGATTTTTGGTATTGATGAAATGATCGTTTAGCAGTTGAGTGTCGAGCATCAGATAGGATAAATCCAATGTTTTGGTACTGGAATCCGAATCGCTCGAGTCCGACGTGTAGTTCTCCATAAATAAAAATTCACTGGACCACCGGTGTGTCAGAAACCTTGAAAAATATGAGATTTGCATTTTAAAAATTAGTAAATTAGTAAATTTATTCAATTAAATATTTTTTATTTTTAACGAGGTTAATAATAATCGCGAATTTTTTTTTTTTCACTATTATATATACAAGTATTTTTTTTTTTTAAACAGAGTAAATTATTCATCTATTATCTCATGACACGTGATCTATGTTATTTGCGAAAAGCAAAAGTTAAGAGAAAAGTTAAAAAAGTTAAATATAAAATTGGTATTTTATAATTCTTTTTAATTATATATATTGAAGATTAAAGAGATCATGAATACCTAATAACTGAAATGATTTTATTATTTTTTTTTTTTTTTTCTTATTTACCTTTATTTTAATTCATTTCATTATCGAAAACGTCTGAATCTAAAACGTCTAAAAAATAATAGCAGACTTTGATACCATTTTTCTCGCATCAATCGATATCTTTTTCACGAGAATAATACTCATCTCGCTCGTTATCATTAATTTATTATATCTGTATAACTTTCTTTGTTAGATGGATTATCTATCGTTATGTTAATGTGAAAAACAAGTTTAACGACAATAATTTTTATTAATTACTTTATCGATAAATATAACATTACAGAATTTCTATGTATGTATATTATGTGTTACGTAAAAAACGAGAATGGAAAAAGCAAATGCATTTATCAATAATTAACACGATCCTTTGAAAGATAAGCTTTTTCTTTTTTTCAACGAAATGTTACAAACATAGAAAACAAGATATAGAAAACTTTTCTTTCAAATATTCTTCACAAATATTTTTTTATACAAAATTCGATAAAATTAAAATTATTCAATTTAATCGAAGTAAAATATAATGTTATAATATAATTTTATTTTTCTATTTAAATAATAAATCGTTTTACGAATTATTAAATCGTATGATTTATCATATGATTAAATGGTTATGATTAATTGGTATAATAAAATACCAAATTTTATGTCAGATAAATCGTGGATTATCAAGTATTTAAAAAGATTTATTTTTTTTCAAAATAATATTCGAGAAATATTACTTTTCTTCAATATGTTGAACGATTAAACGTATGAATTCTTGCTATGTCATCGAATATTAGAGAACGTGAAACATTGCGTAAAACTGTTTCGATAACGCGTACTTTTTATTTTAAATCTTGTCATAAGAATCGTGTAAATTAATAATTATTGATAACTCGATTCATGTTGTTCAAAAAAATAATTATTACCTTCTAGTATCATATAGAATTTTTCATGGTAGACTGTGAATATGATATGTTTCGATTGTTTTGTATTACAAGTTACTTATTAAGATAGATATTCGATTAAGATATTCGATTTAATAGATTAATTAAGAATCAAAAGTTGATTCCTAGTTTGTTATTCAAAATCGACGATAATTTAAATAATTTTTTCCATTAAAAGAAAAACAATTTTTTTTATTTTCTTTCTTCTATTCAAATATGCAAATATGTGTTTTTTAGATAACAGTAATAATACAAATACACAATTTTCTCATAAAGAATTCTAAAAAGTAAAGACTTTATTGACTTTATTGAATTTACTTAAGGACTTCTGTTATTATTTTTCTAAAACAGATCATACAGATCATAAAATCGTAAAATTAAAATTAATTGTTCGCAAAACTAATTGCTTGTAATTATGAATTTTTCGAATATTTTTATCACGCGAGATAATTTTTCAACGTATTCTCTTACCTTGTCGCAATCTCGAATCTCGTCAGAACGTGTTCCCTCTTCTTTGTTGCGCGATCGTCTTGGACGTTCACTGTTCCCAGTTTCATAGCACGTACGGTCACGATTTATAAAGAAACTGGGCTGCACGATGCACGATCAACTTGAGATGTGCAAGCGCAAGGCTTGAGACTGAACTATATCTGGTTTTATCAATTCTCCTTATATTGTTTCAGAAGCACTTGACATCACAGATCGCATGTCAAGTCTCAGTACCGTTGTAACTAGCGGGCGACAAAGACTAAAAAAAATTTTAATTTTTAAGTATGAGAAAAAATTAATATTTTTTTAGTTAAATCCATTATTAATTGAATCGATTTTAGTTTCAAAATCAATTATATTAAAAAAAAATTATATATTTATAATTATATAATTATAAATTTATATATTTATATTTAATTAAAATTAATAATTATTTTAATAATTTATAATATAATTAACTTAAAATCAATTACATATAATTATATCATTTTTTTTTTTTTTAATTCATCTTATAACTGAATATAAAGTAACATACTGATTGATATCGTTTCAAAAATTACTTGAACGTTCATCGTAATCACGTGTACGTGCAAGTTTGTTATTTTTATGCAACTTATCAATAAAAAGTGAATAGTGAAGAGAAATTTATTTATTTAACAGAGTGGATGAATCATACGATTTTAAATATATGATATTTTTAATATTTTAAGTATTTTTCCAAATATTATTGTTTTTTGAGGTTACAAATTTAGGTTAATAAGTTCAAGGAAACTATATGTTAAAATCAAAAGATTATATATGAAATTTATTAATATAACATTTTTCTAACATGATTTTATATTTACGTCAAACATCATTTTTATATATAACTAAAAAATTTTCTAGTTCAATATGTTTAAATAACACGAAATTTTGGAATTATTTGATAGAAAATTATAAGAATGTGTTGGTAGAACCTAATAGTGTATCAAAAGAAATATGGAAAAATTTAAGAAATTATGCCAAATCAGAATGTGATTCATCATTTCTTGATTCTACTATTTTAAGTACATTCTATCATAAATATCAACCAAATACTGGAATATGTTATTATAAATTTTTAGAAGATAATAATTATAATCCTTCGGTGCATACTATAATAAAATATTTAGAATTATATCATATAAAAAATGATTTAATTACAGAAGTAGATAAAAAACATATTTTAAGTTTATATAATAAACTTATGACTGAATATTCTTCATTTAATGCAAATATCGCTAATATTCTTGTTAAAATCTTATGCAAAATAAATCAATGGAAGGAAGCTATTAAAGTTATAGAAAAATATGAAGTAACTGACAAAAGTTTACTTCGGAGAGCATATAATGATTTAATTGCATATTTATTCGATCATAATAAAGATGAATTAGCATACAAATATTTAATTAATAGTATGAAAAAAGGAGTAGGATCTAATGAATGTATATATATTACATATTTAAAATATTGTTTAAAAGAAAAAGATACGTTTAATGAAAAAATTGAGAAAATATTCATATTATGGAATACATATGGTATTAAACCTACTCAGATGATTGCATTTGAATATATGACGGCATGCATCGAACATGGTTGGTCTGCTAACCCAACAACAATATCAAAGTATATCTAATAATTATAATATAAATAGTAATAAATAATTTCTTGTTTCTTATTCTTTTATTTTTCTTTATATCAGTTTAAGATGCAATAATTGTAAAGAAAATCTATCGCAAATAAATATATCTGATCGAGATTTTAAATATTTACTTGAAGTTGTAGAAAAAAATTTTACATCTTCTAACATGTATTATCTAACTTTGCCAGAAGAAATAAATAAATATATGATGTTTATCAAGAAAAATAAACCATTTGATATTATTATTGATGGATTAAATGTTATGTATGCTATTCGATATGATAAAAAATATATAAGTATGGTAAGTAATTGACAATTATAATGGATAACTCGATAATATAAATAAATTTATGATGATATTTTAATAATGAATATATCTTTTTTATGAATAAAATATAAATGATCAATTAAAAATTAATATGTACTTTTTAGATCGTAGAACTTATTAAATCTTACGAAAAACAAAATAAAAAAATTCTGTTCATTGGAAGAATACATATGAAATCCTTTATAAAAAAATTAGATCTGAACATAAAAAATTGTTTCCTTCTTAAAAATTGGTTTGTATTATATTTGCATATAATATTTTTTTTTTTATTATTATTTCACAATATACTTTATATTGTTATTCCAATATTATAGGACACATGATGATTTATTCGTATTATATGCAGCATTTTCAAGTGGAAAAAATGCTATAGTTATTTCTAAGGATTTAATGCGTAAACAAAAATTTACTATTCAAAATAAAGAGTTAAATATTCTCTTTAATAAATGGCAATTTTCGTATCAATATTATTTTGATAAATATAAAGGTTTAGTAAAATTAAATTCAAAAACACAAATTGACGCAGTTGTTCAAAAAAAAAATAATTATTGGCATATACCATATATTTTTGATGAAAAATGTTCAAAAAGACATACATGTTTTAATGATTGGATTTGTCTCAAGATATAAATAAAATGATATTTTTATATATAATTAAATATAATAATAAAATTTTATTTAAAACATAGTATAAATTATAACTATATTTATTATATAAAATAATATTATAATATGATAATTGAAAATTTTTTAATTTTTTTTTATTTTGTAGATTTCATTTATTTATTTATTTAATATATTAGAAATAGAATAGACTTATTAAATGTATTAAATGTATATTTTATTATATTAAATACGTATTATATTATATTATATTATAAATGTATATAATTATATTAAATGTATTTTTTGTATTTGGGTACTGGAACTCTTCTTATTTTAGTATCATTCTCAAAATAGTTAATATTTTTATGAATTCCATTGACATTTCGTATCTGTTGATTTGCCTATCAATAAATATAAACAAGGAAAGCAAACAGTGGGAGAAGGAGATAAAGATAAAGCTAAAAATTAGGAAATCAGCGCCATCTTTTGAATTCAAAGATATCTTTTCAAAAAAATATTTTTAAAAGTATTCAAAAGATAATGCTAATAATCCATTCTTACTTTATCTCTATGCTTCTCTCATTATTTTTTATCTTTCTTTGAATATTTCATTTGCAGTATTTTAGAGATGGCGTTTATTCCCTAATTCTTATCCTATTTCTTCATTGCCTAATCTGTTAAAAATTTTATCATATTTTTTTATTCAATTAAATTTTTTTACATGTCTTTATATATATATTTCATACATATTTATCTTTGTATATTTATACGTTATATATATATTTATATTTATTCTTTTATATGTATTGAGAATATATATATTATATATTTTTTTTATGTGTACGTATTTTTTTTTTTCTATATATTTTACATATTAAACTTTTTCATACATTACAGATTATCTTTGTATGTTATTATACATATTTGCAATAGTGCAATAGAAATATTTATATTTTTGAAAAGATCAAAATCAAAAAAATTATTTTTAAAATCTGTTAACCAATTGTTTTGATTTTCTATTTTTTGTTTCTTTTTCTTTACTATTTAATTGAATGAAATATAAATTTTTACACTCACCGTTCCAAATCATATGATTTTTTGCGCAATCGGTATTTCAGAACATAAGACATAAAATTTCATTAAATGTTAAATCTATTCTGCACTTCATCTGTGGTGAAATACATTATGTCGATAACAAAGTATTATACAGAAATGTACTATCAGATGGCGCAAAATGCACCATTAGTGTAATACAATAAAATTTGTGTCATACATTCTAGTTTGTGTTTTTTAATGCAACAGGTGTTACGGTTCATCAAGTTTTCGTGTGAACTTTTTGTAATACTCTGTCTTATATTTGGACAAGTGTTTATATATTTTCCAAGAATTTTTCGTGAGATTAATATAGACTATCATTTCTTATATATATTATTGCATACCTTACTTCAAAACGCGTATCATCAAGAAATTATTTTTGGAACTTGCAATACATGGTACGTTAAGAAAACAGTTATATGGCTAGAGGCAAGTATTTGTTTATTGATTATACAAAAGCGAAGAATAATATTTTACGTATCACTTTGGAAATTTTTCAAAAAGCTTCTAATATCATCCATCAAAACGAAATCTGTAATATTTAGGTTATTAGGTTCACATGTTTGAACAAACATAATTTATTTTGTCATTATTTGCTTGTAAACAAGAATGATCGTAATGACATCATTGTGTCAAAATGCTCATATATATATATACAATCAGTTTTGTATCAATTTATTCTGAAGATATTGTTATTTAATTTTACTTAAAATGGATTTTTAAAAAATTGTATAAAGTAGTAATAATGGAAATCGATAATAATATTTTCGATCGTATCGTGAAAAATATCGTAAGAGTAAATTTTTTACTTCTTTCTTATTGCGCCATAGAATATGAAGAATTCGTTTTGTCGTTTGACAATCGAGCTTTGAAAACTTGATCTTCTTAAAGTAAGATACGTATGTAAACGATTTCAATGATACGTATTTCTAATTCGAAACTATGAATATTTGTTTCATATTATTTCTTCGTATATTACATAATTATATATTTTAAATTAAGAAAAATTAAGAAATTTACAATAATTTTGAATAGCCTAAGGAAAAGATATCGTTATAAACTGATCACGTGACTATGATGTCACTAGTTGTGCGATTGTCGCATAGTCGCGTTCATTTCAAAAACGGAGCTCGATAGTACGGTTTAAACGCGCGTGCATATAAATGAAATCGCAAATTAGTGAATTATTTATGCCAGCCAATTAACATGATGCATTCAATTCACATAGGAGACGATTCAGCGAAAAAATGAATCAGGTTTGTTACAAGTTTTGTGAATATATTTTCTACTTCCACTTTTATCGAGGCATCATTCGATTTAAATCTGAAATGACAATTTATCAAAGAATTCTATAAATACGTGTCGTAGATTGCATCATGATTCACTTACAATATTTTACTATACAAGATTTTTTTTTTCATTAAGAGCTAATAATTTACGAAATAATTTATTTTTTAAGAATATTCATTTCGAGTGTAATGCACACTTGATAACTTGT